AGACGAGTATCATGACCATTCATCTGAAGGTCAATATATTTCCGCATAGCTGGTGTTGTGACTTGACGGGTTGCGCGTAGACTCAATGACTTTTTGGGGATTTAGGACCAACATTTTGTTGAGCTTTTGCTGGATTTTGATATCTGGGTTGCGTGGCTGACAAAAACCATTTTTGTGACCGATGATCTTGCACTTGCTGCAACGATGATTTTTGTATGGGCAAGACTTTACAAAGTGCCACGCGCCACAATGCCAGCATGGTGATGGAGGGGTCTTCTTTGCAGTATTTTGTGAAGTTGGACGAGTATGTGTAGATTTCCGCGGAACATTAGAGAAGTAGGTGGGTCAGGAGTAGCTGATGAGAGATTTTTGCTCTTGCGTAATGCACGAATATCAGAGCTTCTCGGAGGTGTTGATTCGACCAAGTGTGTGTCTTTCTGCAGATTAATCAGCCGTTGATATTCATCAGCTATGTCATGTAATGTTAACTTGGGATTTTGTTCTAGCTGATTGAGCAGTCGAGTTCGGATATCTGTGAAACGAGGAGATTGGAGACTGCATATGAGAATCAAGGCTTTGAACTGATCATCTGTTAAGGACCTGAGTCGAAATCTCTCACATTCTCGGTTGACTGTGCCAACGTGAGTAAGAAAATCATCATTTTCATTCATTGCCAGCTTGAGGCAACGATAACGTATACTGAATAATGAGGAGTGGTCTCCGAAATGTTCACGCAGCAACTTTATTGTATCATCGAAACAATTGTCACGTGGTTTCTGTGGTAAAATTAGGTTGCAGTACCGTTCATATTCTGCCGGACCCAATTTACGTAGCAAAACTCGCACCTTCCAGGCATCGTCTTGTGAGGCGAGATCAACAGTGAATAAATCCTCATAACGTTGATACCATGTGTCAAAAGTGACATTAGCCTCTGGGTCATAATTGAACTGTGAAATGCTGTTCACAATTCCGTCGACAGATGGTAGCATGGTATGATTGGGATTGCTTGAAGGTGGAGCTGGACCAGTCTGTTGGTTGACGAACATTTCCATTAATTTCATTTGTCGTTCAAACAATAATTCCAATTTAATAGGATCCATAGTAAATTGTTATGTTGTTGCTGCTGTGTGGTTAATAGTAGTTTTCCCCGTCGCCTAGTTTTCCCCGTCGCCAAATTGTTATGTACTAGTTTTCCCCGTCGCCAAATTGTTATGTACTCGTCGCTGAATTATTGTTATGGACTGGTCGAGAAACTAATAGTCCTGACGCGAGAAGGCGGAAATCAGAAGACCACTAGGTTTGCGATGATACTTCTATTGTCCAAACACAAGGAGACGAAAATAAATGGTCTCACACCAAAGTGGTAAGTAAGTAAAGTAGTTGTAAAGTAAAGTAGTTCACACAAATTGTGAATGCGAATATATATAAATAATTCAGACAAGCGTGGGAAAAATCATTAGACAGTCTTAACATGAATGGCTAATTATAATGGAGTGTCGATCCAATTATACATAGCGAATATAGCAGACATGCCAACAAACATATATGGATATATGTCACCAAGCAACGGACTGTCAACAAACACTCATATTATATATAATATAATATAAGGAGAATACACATTATTAAAGGAGACAAGTCCATACAAGTGAAGTGGTCACAGACTAACCGAGCAAACAGAAAGAGAGACCAACATGCACACACACACATAAATATATATATGTGGATACATATCACCTCCCCTTTTGAGAAGATGAATGATTAGTAGGATGTTTACCTGGGGGTTTATCTGGGACCTTTGGGCTTGTTGTTGACGCCTGTCGTTTCGTCTGATTGTTGGGTTTGCGGCTTCGGCTCCGTCCGGAATTGTCTAGCATTTTATGCTTCTTCACTGTATTGCGTAGAGAATTTAGTGGGACATCAGCCAGATGCAAACGATCGAACCAATCAAGTCCCAAAACATTTAAATCATTCTTCGTGACGTAACAAATTCCTGTGAATTTGGTATTGCGGAAGGAAACAGAACATTTGAGTTCACCAATTAGTTTGAGCCGCCCACCACAGGCGCTGAGAAGAGACTGGGAAGTATTGGTGATAGGTGGTCTGCCAATATAATTCCAAAGTTTCTCTGATATAACAGTAATATCAGAGGCAGTATCTAGCTGCAGACGAGTATCATGACCATTCATCTGAAGGTCAATATATTTCCGCATAGCTGGTGTTGTGACTTGACGGGTTGCGCGTAGACTCAATGACTTTTTGGGGATTTAGGACCAACATTTTGTTGAGCTTTTGCTGGATTTTGATATCTGGGTTGCGTGGCTGACAAAAACCATTTTTGTGACCGATGATTTGCACTTGCTGCAACGATGATTTTTGTATGGGCAAGACTTTACAAAGTGCCACGCGCCACAATGCCAGCATGGTGATGGAGGGGTCTTCTTTGCAGTATTTTGTGAAGTTGGACGAGTATGTGTAGATTTCCGCGGAACATTAGAGAAGTAGGTGGGTCAGGAGTAGCTGATGAGAGATTTTTGCTCTTGCGTAATGCACGAATATCAGAGCTTCTCGGAGGTGTTGATTCGACCAAGTGTGTGTCTTTCTGCAGATTAATCAGCCGTTGATATTCATCAGCTATGTCATGTAATGTTAACTTGGGATTTTGTTCTAGCTGATTGAGCAGTCGAGTTCGGATATCTGTGAAACGAGGAGATTGGAGACTGCATATGAGAATCAAGGCTTTGAACTGATCATCTGTTAAGGACCTGAGTCGAAATCTCTCACATTCTCGGTTGACTGTGCCAACGTGAGTAAGAAAATCATCATTTTCATTCATTGCCAGCTTGAGGCAACGATAACGTATACTGAATAATGAGGAGTGGTCTCCGAAATGTTCACGCAGCAACTTTATTGTATCATCGAAACAATTGTCACGTGGTTTCTGTGGTAAAATTAGGTTGCAGTACCGTTCATATTCTGCCGGACCCAATTTACGTAGCAAAACTCGCACCTTCCAGGCATCGTCTTGTGAGGCGAGATCAACAGTGAATAAATCCTCATAACGTTGATACCATGTGTCAAAAGTGACATTAGCCTCTGGGTCATAATTGAACTGTGAAATGCTGTTCACAATTCCGTCGACAGATGGTAGCATGGTATGATTGGGATTGCTTGAAGGTGGAGCTGGACCAGTCTGTTGGTTGACGAACATTTCCATTAATTTCATTTGTCGTTCAAACAATAATTCCAATTTAATAGGATCCATAGTAAATTGTTATGTTGTTGCTGCTGTGTGGTTAATAGTAGTTTTCCCCGTCGCCAAATTGTTTTAGTTTTCCCCGTCGCCAAATTGTTATGTACTAGTTTTCCCCGTCGCCAAATTGTTATGTACTCGTCGCTGAATTATTGTTATGGACTGGTCGAGAAACTAATAGTCCTGACGCGAGAAGGCGGAAATCAGAAGACCACTAGGTTTGCGATGATACTTCTATTGTCCAAACACAAGGAGACGAAAATAAATGGTCTCACACCAAAGTGGTAAGCAAGTAAAGTAGTTGTAAAGTAAAGTAGTTCACACAAATTGTGAATGCGAATATATATAAATAATTCAGACAAGCGTGGGAAAAATCATTAGACAGTCTTAACATGAATGGCTAATTATAATGGAGTGTCGATCCAATTATACATAGCGAATATAGCAGACATGCCAACAAACATATATGGATATATGTCACCAAGCAACGGACTGTCAACAAACACTCATATTATATATAATATAATATAAGGAGAATACACATTATTAAAGGAGACAAGTCCATACAAGTGAAGTGGTCACAGACTAACCGAGCAAACAGAAAGAGAGACCAACATGCACACACACACATAAATATATATATGTGGATACATATCAGAAAGAACGAACAAGAATGTTTTAAGTAGAGTTTGTAAGGAAGAGAGAAACAAAACAGCACATAACAAAAATAAATACGGAATGAAAAAAGGTAGAGAGAAAACGTTGTACCTGTAAATGGTGTGAGTTGGAAAGACGAGATCCATTTGTTCTACTGACTATTTAATAAGTTAAAGGTTTCACGTCTAATGCTTTCTTTATCGCACAGAACACGAGCTAGGTAGGGTATGGATGAGTTTTTGTGCTTGCTTGTGCGAGCATATAGTTTTTTATATAGGCTTCTGGTCCTTCCTGATGAGATACATGGGAGACTTGTGAATGTAGAGGGTGTTGTGAGTCAGATAAAATGGATTTCGCCCATTTTTCACATGAGTCCATGTGCCTGTCGACCAGAATATTAACAAGCTGGCTAAGTGGCACCCTGTGGCTTACCCTGCTGACAACCTTTAACATCCTACGTAATAAGGTATAGTCTTTCTTCAATAGCCCAGGAAAGACTAAGGGGGAACAATAGAGAATAATAGGCAGAATACGGGAGTTAACAAATTTTAGTAGTAAGGGTTGGGTTACACCAGCCAGCCACGTAGGGAATTGTAGACTTCCTTACCTGTTGGAGTCCTTGGGATGGTAAGAAGCGATGGCAGCTAAAGACAATTTGTGATATGGCTGAAAATCGTTGTCAATGGCTGTCGCGGATGCATCCACTCCTTGTGAATTACAATGCCCAATAAACTGTATTGTTCTTCCATATTACTATTTACTGTTTTTGCTTCGTATTTGTGTTTGTTATCTCTCTCTCTCTCTCTTTTGCTCTTTTGAACCTGTCTTTACTCTCTTTCTTCGCTTAGTGCGGTAACTCGAAGTGCTGCTCATCTTTGCTAAGTTCTACGTTGAAACCACTAGCTAAGTGGTTAGTCGGTCTATCACTTAACTATGCTTAACTATGGAGTAAAAGCGTATAAGAGGGCACTACAAACCTGCCGTATTTTTGTTGTTTTACGTAGAAAATGTTGTCCATCGGGAACATTTTTCCCATATTTCGGTGGTATACTACTAACAATTTGTTTTCACCCCTTTACAAATCCTCTAGAACTGACACCAACTTGGAGTTGGCTCGTTTAGTTCAACTGAAGTTAGACACATACAAAGGTGACAATCCAGCTTTGGGTCAGGTGAGTTAATTATTTAGTTTTATATATATATATATATATATATATGATTGATTTGTGTTTACAAATAATAGTCACTTGTTTATCAACAACAGTTGAACAGTTTATGATTATAAAGAACCCAATGGCGCAATTAACTATTCCGAAAGGAAAATGAAGTTTCTTTTCTTGGTATGCAAATGACCCATTCAACAAAAGCGAAATTTAATCAAATCACTTGCCACCCGCATCCGACGCATCTGTAGTCCCGACGTTCTGGAAACAGAATTAGATATTGTAAGAGAAATCTTCGTCCAAAATGGATACCCAATAAGATTCATCAACAATAATATTAAACCAATAATTCGGAGAAATGAAACTTTAATTGCGCCTAAAAAGAAACTCTACGTGAACTTGGATTTCAAGGGAGATTTAGCAAGCGATATTCTCAAGAGAAGGATCACATCATCTCTGAGAAGGACATTCTTTGCAGCAACGCTAAGAATAGTGTTCTCCAGTCGCCTACTGATATGCAGAAGCCTCAAGGACAAGATCCGCATCTGGCCACTTCTATATGCATATATCAGTTCACGTGTTGCTGTGGAGCCAGGTACATCGGTCGTTCGACGCCCATCCTGTCCAAGAGGATTCAAGGCAATAGTGGTGCAATAAGGATAATTGAACACTTGGTTAACACTGATCATTGCATTTCAACAGACGCCTCCTTCAAAGTAATCTAAAGAGTCAAGAATAAGCCATCAAAGGTAATACGGTTTCATCTCCTTTGTATCACTGAAGCTGTCTGTCTGGATTCAACATAGAACTTGACACCGAAGTGCACCAGTTCGAGTTGCCACGTTCCATGTAGCACACAAAGGTAGACAAGAAGATGAGTGAAGAGAATAAATAGACTTTGACAAGTATAAGAGCGAAACAGAATGGGTAATGGTAGAAAGGAATATGAAAGATTACACAGACTGAATACATCTGCGCTGGCCATTGACAACGATTTTGAGCCATGTCACCTATTGTCTCCAGCCATTGATTCCTAGAGTCCCGAGGGCCCCAACCCGGAAGTCTGAATCTCCCTCCCTACCTGACCGACTCAGTTTAACTGTCAAGGATTTCATGGATTGATGAGGCCATGTTTTTGTTTGGCCACCACTTACCCTTTTCCAACCTCCACCTATATCAGCTAGCAATGCCCGTCGGGGGAGGCGATGGTTAGGCATGCGCAGCACGTGACCTAGCCATCTCAGTCTATGTAACATTATAGCCTCCTCGATTGATTTTCTCTCTTTGCCCAACACTCTACGCCTAACGTCAACATTACTAACCTTATTAAACCACCTAACGTGAGACAGAGATCGCAGACATCTATGATCGAAATCAGTCAACCTTTTCATGTCTTCAACTCGTATTGGCCATGTTTCAGAGCCATAGAGAAGGACCGAGCGAACTGATGAGCAGTACACACGACCCTTGGTTGATAGCCAACCGGATGTCACGCCTGCGCCAGAGATGGTGTAAGTCAGCGAAAGCAGCTCGAGCTTTTTGGATCCGTGCTGAGATTTCATCGCCAATCAGTCCGTTGGTGCTAATACAACTTCCCAAATAGGTGAAGTGGTGGTCAACATGTTCTATCACTTCACTCCCTATCATTAAGCTAGGAGTTGACGTAGTCCATCCAGTCCTGTAGCACCATCTTACATTTTACAAGGGCGAATCGCATACCAAACATACGAAGATTGCTGCTCAAGGTGTTCAGAAGACTCTGCATTTTGTCACCATCCTCCCCTAACAGGACTATGTCATCTGCATATTCTAAGTCCATAAGACTATTCCCTGGTAACAAGTCGATTTCTAAGTCGTTACCTTCAGTTAAGGATACCTCCATTAGCATATCTATGATGAAGTTAAACAGGAATGGGGAAAGTGGATATCCCTGTCGGACACCACTGGTTGTTATCAATTCAGATGACAATTCCCCATAAGCCCTTACACGACTACGTGAGTTTGAATAGAGTGCCTTGATTAGGGCAATCCACTTTCTTGGCACTTCCTTCACAGTCAAACATTGTGATAGTACCTTTCGATCCACGGAGTTGAAGGCCGCCTTCAAGTCGAGAAATATGGCAAGTGTTGGACGCCGAAAAGTGTGTCTATGTCCTAGAATTTGTCGGAGAGTGAAGATATGATCTATGGACCCTCTACCTGGTCTAAAGCCTGCTTGATTTCCCCTCGTTTCTTCCTCTCGAGTTCTCCTTAGTCTGTGCATGATTACTGAGCCTAGGATTTTAGAAACTATGTTCGTTAGGCTGATCCCCCTATGATTATCACATGAGGACTTGTTTCCCTTCTTGAGTATCGGTATAATCAGTTACTTACCCCAGTCTGATGGCACTGTCTCTGATTCCCAGACGTTGCCTAGTACCTCATTTAATCTACAAACTAGTATGTCACCCCCATATTTAAACACCTCCGGAATAATTCCGTCGGGTCCTGCCGCTCTGCCTCGTTTCAAATTACTGATAGCTTTTGTGACTTCACTTACAGACGGCGGACCAGTGTCTATATCCCATTCGGGTGTGTGCTGGATGTCGGGGAGGCTCAGTGTGGCTGTAGGCAAGTTAAATTGTCCCTCAAAGTGTTCTTTCCAGCGTTCAAGTCGTCTATCCTGAGAGCTTATTAAGGAGCCATTTTTCTCAGAAATTGTTATAACTGTAGGGTATTGAATGAAGACGTTTTCACCTTATTCTGTCTGCGCCTGAACTAATCTGTCTATCTGCTCGTCGTACCTTCCGACTTAGTAAAGCACGCAAATATCAAAAGACAAAGGCTGGACTGTGACTGTGTATTGAAGTGCAACAACGATAAAGAAAGCCATGGTATTTATACATTTTACAACAATATGGACAGCTAACAGCATTTGAAATAATTGACCTTAATAGCCAATAACAAAGTGCGTGAGAGATGATAGTATACCATATGTGCGACATTGACAGTCAGTAACAAAATGTGTGGGAATGATAATATACCATATATACAAAATTAGCAGTCACTACCAAAATGCGTGAGAATGATAATATACAAAATTAGCAGTCAATACCAAAATGTGTGAGAATGATGACATACCATATATGCAAGTTTAAACAGTCAATACCAAAATATGTGGGATCCTATCACCTCCCCCCGTAAAGAGTGTAGGACTTGCTTTTTGGATCTATTTGAAAAGGTTTCGGAGCTCTTCTTTGTCGAGTTGACCTTTGCGTGGTACTGGATAGAGCGTGATCTGTGTGTCTGCCACATAACTGTCCTTTTTCATTCGTACGATAATGCAGCAAGAATTTATCCAAAATTTTTTTCTGTTGTTCCCTCCCCCTTCGCTTTTGCATAAGCACGCTTAAAGGTGTCGACGAAACGTTCAGTAATAGTTGACGTAGGTGGGACACTGTTGCAATTGATGTGGCAGAATGCATAGGAAATATCTCTGGCCATTTGGAAAACGCGTCGACACATATTAAGAAATGCATACTATTGAACGGTCCAGCGAAGTCAACATGAACACGGGACCATGGTTTGTCCGGTCGTGGCCAGGAACATAGTTCTGTCTTGCGTGGACACTTTGATGCTTGAGCACATTTACTACACTTGCGAACGAGGTCTTCGATATGGTCATCGATGTTGGGCCAGTAAACATAACTGCGAGCGATCGCCTTCATTCTCCCAACACCAGGATGTGATATATGAAGCTGCCGAAGCACATGGTCACGAAGATTAGCTGGAACGACAACACGATCAGCAAACATTATGCATCCATTAACGATGGATAGGGATTGGCGTCGCTGGTAAAACTGTTTTAAAACATTTGAATGAACATGTGGAGGCCAGCCAAATCGGATGAACTTTGATACTTGCTGTAAAACTGGATCACGCAGTGTGTGTCTGGCAACCTCAACTGCAGTCACCGGAAGATCGTCCAGAGAGATAGACATTATAATTGGGTTGTAATTAACACAGTCAAAAATGTTATATAGTTGCGCTGAACAGAATAAAAACTGTCGTCGTTGCGTGCTATAACTGCAATGAATTAAAGTAAATCCCCGTCGCCAATTGTTATAACTGCACTGAATTAAAGTAAAACCCCGTCGCCAATTTGTTATATCTGTAGGGGATTGAATGAAGACGTTTTCACCTTATTCTGTCTGCGCCTGAACTAATCTGTCTATCTGCTCGTCGTACCTTCCGACTTAGTAAAGCACGCAAATATCAAAAGACAAAGGCTGGACTGTGACTGTGTATTGAAGTGCAACAACGATAAAGAAAGCCATGGTATTTATACATTTTACAACAATATGGACAGCTAACAGCATTTGAAATAATTTATCTTAATAGCCAATAACAAAGTGCGTGAGAGATGATAATATACCATATGTGCGAGGTTGACAGTCAGTAACAAAATGTGCGGGAATGATAATATACCATATATACAAAATTAGCAGTCACTACCAAAATGCGTGAGAATGATAATATACAAAATTAGCAGTCAATACCAAAATGTGTGAGAATGATGACATACCATATATGCAAGTTTAAACAGTCAATACCAAAATATGTGGGATCCTATCAGAAATAGTCTCACTTATGATTTGCCTTCTCCCTCGCGTTTCCCTGATGAGTCTAAATAGTTGCCTAGTGTTGCCTATCGCCGATGCGTTTTCCATCTCTTTTGCCTTTGTCAGCCACCACTGTTCACGGTCCTTGCGGAGACTTTTAGTAAGTTTCCTTTTGTGCAGCTTTCGCTCCTCATTGAATTCGGAGCTCGCCCGAATAAGTCTTCTAGCATCTATCAGTTCGGATGAGGCAGTCACTGAAGCTCTGACCATTGACATAGAAAAACCGGAGCTGTGCATACAAAAGAAGATTACTCAAGCACTTCTACTCCCATAGTAACAATTTTTTGATTTGTTTTGGTTTTTTATTTTTATTTTGATGACTTAATTTTGTTTCTTTGCCTGTTCTTT